TAATCAAGGCAGATAGGATATAGTAAGGGTAAACAGCGATTTCTCGTCATTTGATTTCTAGCTCTAGGTATTTTTCTTTGCAACCTTACAGGTTGAAGGTTGTTCCTGTGACAAAGGAGCGAGCTATATGAGCACGACCTTTTCTCGGAAGAAACACGATCTCAAAGCCATCAACTAGGTATATTTACAAGGCTGATATTTATTTACAAGGGTGACGTAGATAAAATGATCAAAGTAGCCATTGACTCACTTACAATCTATTTGTTAGAAGCGAAAACCTGTTATCGAATTATTCCAACTCATAAGTTTCCATGCAACTGCGGCACAAGTGAATCTACGAGCTGAAGGCAACTTTTTTGATATTCATGGAGAGCCGTTTAATGGATAGACATCACTTACAAACTACTTTCTTTGATTTTGTAAACTAGCTTCGCAGGCTTGCTGCAGCCTTGAAAACGACGATTGTGAAGGTGGGAACCAATATAGGAGCCAGGACGCGTGCACGAGGCTGCTACGGCTTTAAAAAAGGCGTACAGTATGACCTTTCCATTGATTACCTTGATTTACTCTATGACTATTTGCTTTAACTTGTATCAGTTCATCCCATGTGACTAATAGAAGCTTGCTTACTACTACCATTACAAAATACAGGTTTGAATTGCGTTGTGCTGATCAGTAATGCTTAAGGCTCCATGAACTAACCAAATGTAGGCTATTTTGGAGCCAAACCCAAGGTGGACAAGCATTTATAGCAGAGTTTGTTGTCCCTTCACAAAAAGGACAAAATGTTTAGTAGCTCTTTGAATTTGTTCTCATTACAATTTCGAAGTATGTATACGCCTACATTTTGCATCTTCCTATAGCAAGAACATAATATCAAACAGACTTTCTTGAATAGGCTAATAGTGATGAAATTAAACATTTTACTTCTTTTTTCACAAACCATAATGTTCCATTACCCTTATGAACAACGTTAAATGAGTGTTTCCTTATTTGACTCGAAAGAAATTTAATGGGAATTTGTTGAAGAGCTGACATTTCAAGAACCAATTCGTTTTCCAACCAGAAATTCTGCTTTTAGCTGGTTATTTATTCGCGCGCATTGCAAAAGTAGCGCATCACAAATTGCGCAGATGCCTAATTTG